GTCTCCTTTATGTTATGCAAAAACACTTAAAGACATCAGGTGTATGTCGGAGGCTATACCAGATCACAAACCTAGGACACCTTAGCCACCACATGCGTTTAATGGTATCGATTACTGTAACCCATTAAATTCCAGACCTCGGGCAGCTTTGTGTGGGTGTTTTTGCTTAAATAGTCAATGTAATTACTGACTCACATCCCTTAAAAAAAGGTTTGCCCTGGTTTAAACACAGAAAATCGTAGTCGACAGAATTAGGAACAGATGAGATGACGCACACTTGAGAAATCGTAGTAAATCAGTCAAAGTGAATTTAACAGACTGAAACACCATCATTTATAGCTGCTTATCTTCTAATAACAGGGAAAATGTACAATTGTAAAGCCAGCTCTTGAAAGCCCCAAAGGTGTGGAATGTAAAGCTTGACTGTTTAACATGGCAAGTGTTTAACCACTTATCAACATGCAAACTATCACCACATTAACTGTTACTCATAGCAAACCTCAACCACTTTGTCACTGCCCCCAAAATTCCCAAGTTGACGCTAAACAATTCTCATCTAGCTTCATATACACACACACAGCCGAATTCTCAGGCACAGCTTGCCAACAACTGCTGTGCTTGGATAAAACCACATAAATGGCAGCTAAAAATAGCCAAGTTTACAAATCATTGCGTTGCTACAGCACAGTTTAAGATCATTATTTCACCATTCGAGGAAAACAAAACAGAATGCAAAACATTTTCCCGTGTGCCATTATGAATCGTGTTACACGAGTTCAAGTTAAAAATCGTTTTGAGGTCGGTCTGTCGCATGGAAATGATGCCGATAGTAGTCACTTGCATTATATGCATCACCACCATGAAGAGAGATCATGATTACAGGAGAGGACATTGCCAGCACCTAACACTTGCTACCCAACAGGTCAGTGCATGTTTCTAGTGCGTTATGCACTTGTGAAGCAGCCAAGTAAACACATAGAATGGCCATGACAAATGAGCCCAGTAATGATTCACTTATCCTGCAGTGCATACACAGCATTTGAATTTAGTTTTTCCTGTACGTACTGTACAACTATTGATAGTTTCTGCTCAGTGCATCCAACCCAAGACAACAATCCCTCCTGTGCAACCATTGTCAGCCTCCGTACATCTACCTGTTTCAACCTTCGTCCTCTTATTGTTCTACCATGAAAGGCGCTATACAAATGTAATTTTGTATTGTAATGTATCCTAAAGGATAATAGCAACATCCTTCATAGTACTGCGTATCCAGCATCAACTCATTATAATCAGCATTATTCTAAAGGAATTAATGAGCTGGACTTTTTATTTAAAAAATGGATTAATTTAAAATAATTCTGATTGTTTGTGGCTGCTTGTGAGACTTTGCCATTTGCAAAATACTACAGCGTTTTCTTACAAAAACAGACACTACACATGGCAGAGGTTACTTTGAAGCAGACAACTTACAGGTGCTATAAAAATGCAATTTGTGTTCATTTGGGAATTGAGCAGCTGGCACATACAAGTGTGCAGTATTTGACAATACTAAACACTGGCCACGGTGCAAGTCTGTGGTACACTGTCCTTCTCTGCATCTATCAGGTGAAATGAAGAACACCTTTACCCTGGATGGTCACTTTTGCAACTTCTGCAAATGCAGCATTTCAATGCTTCATCACCAGGAACTTCTGCTGTAAAGGCGTCCCAGGACCTGCTTCCCCCACTTGAATTCTGCATTTTCTGCTCAGCAGTAAGCTTATGATAGAAGGTATTTGTTCATTTTTCCTCCCTCCAAGAGTTAGTATTGGAGCCAGAAATGTAATTTAAACCAATTTTGTGATCAATTAGACTTATTGCTTCAGGCTTCGCTTAGTCCAGGTTTTGAAATTCAATCCCCAATTGCACAACTTGCAAGGTAATGGTTACATTCCCCGCGGCAGATAAAACACCTCCAGTTGAAGTGAGGCTTCGACCACTTTCCGTGGTTACAACAGCTCCCGTTAATATTGGATTTGAAATGGAGTCTGACATTTAATGCCACATAATCTTTAACACAGCACAATACTTTTCATTAGGAGGGTTCAAGTTATCCAAATGAAAGCAGGGAACAATTCTATGCAACTCGCTCAAGTCTAGGATTTGTGAGATGTATTTACTGGTATCAACACTTAACAGGCAAGACATCCATTAACCATCTGTCATCATCCATCAGCCAGCACAATGCTACCTAGACTTTGGTGACTGCAGACACTCAATATCTGTAACTTAACTATTTTAAGAAAAGGAATTGGGTCACATTTCATTGAAAGTACAGTAATTGGCAATGGTATACAGCTTGGAATGAAAAATTATACCTTGAGGAGAGAAAAAAAAGCTGTTAGCACAACATGTTCTTGGTAAATTCCACTACATCATACTAGCATCCGTGGAATCTGCTATCTCAGTTGTAACGAAAATATAACTTTCAAGGATGGCAGCGTCATTTTACAGTAAACTGCAATATGGTTTCCATCACTCCCCCCCCCCCCCCCCCTTTAGTCCTAAATCTCACTTGTCACATATAGCAGACTACTGGAATCTGTCAACAATAATAATAATAATCCTTGCACTTGTGCACAATTTGCTGCCGCTTTTCACCCAGAAATTATACAATAAATTCACTTTGCAGTCTATTTAGTGAAGCACTTTGAGACATCTCAAAGACGTGATAAAGGCTATATCAAATGCAAGGATTATTCTTATTATTATACCCACTTCTTAAGAATTTGTTTGGGGGTTAGTTGGGGGGGAAAGGAAAGATGGAAAGAGAAAGGAAGTAAGTAGATTGTTTCTGGCGCTCCGATGACTTGTAAGAGAAACGCATGGCAAGGCTTGGTAGGTCCCCAGCAATCACAAGTAGATATGAAGGTGCAGACAATTCCCCAAACCTACAAGCTTAAGCCCCAGTGGGCAAGGCAGTCTCAACAGGACTAGCAACACCTGAGGAATTCGATTGAGACTGAGTCAACATGAGCTTAAATGGGTTGAGTAAACGCAGCTACTTGTGCCCATTACACAATCCTGGCACAACTCCAGCGTCTGTTAGAACTTTCCACAAAGTTCTGACCACCGCTTTCACTTGCATTCTGAAAGTACAGGTCCTGCTGCCAAAAGTCGTCAATTTCACCAGCAGATGTCTTGAGCTCCTCACGTTAAGCTGTAATCACCAGACTGTTCAGCCACTTCATAGACTTCATTAGGCCATGTCAGTGACTTCAGTAAAACAGCACCTGAACACGGGTTAATATACCTAAAAGAGCAATTATTTCAGAAAGACTAATTTCCGTACTGCTTGCCATTTGAGAAACTGCTGGAGGAATCCAATTTGGCACAAAGACGGTGTGGCTTCAGCTGAAAATGACTGACAATTTAACTTTGTGCACATTTCACTACCCTCCCCTACGCACACGAGCACACATGCACCATTTCATTTAGTTCCCAAGTTAAAGCTAACCATTTACTATTTACGTTATGATCATTAAAAGGAAGTGTCAATGACTGAGCTGAGATCATGGCATGACTAACTTCCTGATCCTGATGCAGAAGCTGCAGATAAAACTGATTACAGAAATGCATTGCGGTTTAAGCCCATAAAATGTGAACAAATCCACTACAGGAACTGTCTTGAAAGTAACAACAACTTGTATTTACAAGTTGTATTCCATTGTGGGAGGCAGTTTCACAACCTGTCCCTATAATAATAATAATAATAGTCGTCACACACACCCCCACACCCTTGGTGGCATCAATGACAATTATAGTGCCTCGATCACTGCTCCAGCTGAGATCAACTAACTAGACACAAAATGAGAATTGAAAGCAAGATCTTGTTCATCTGGAAGGCTCGAGTTTCACTCACAGCACTGTCCTTCCCAGCCAAACCTTTAAAAAGTCCGGACTAACAATTCTGAACAGGCAATAAAAAAATAACATTCAAACCCAATGCACAGTAATACAGCACTCTCCCGACTGTTTATATGCCCAAAAGGCAGGTACATTCTTTATACACAGGCCACAACTAGTTGGGGATATTTATATGACAACTCCTTTATTGAATCAAAGGAACATTTTTAAACAATAGTATTATAGCTTTAAAAACACATTATGTAAGCTGGAAAATGTTTTAAAAGGTTATACCCTGCCACAATATAAATTAGACATATAAAAAGGAAGCAAAGGGTTGTTATTCTTTCCTGGTTAAGATTTTTTTTTAGGAATGTAAAACATTTCCAGTAATTATAAATCCCACTTGAAGACTTGCTGCACAAAGGAGGAAAAACTGACAGCTTTCTCATATTGATCTGCCTGACTCCACAACACCCTCATAGATAGCACTGGAGAGGATCCATGCTATGATAATAGGCCAGAGAGTTGGAGGTGGAACTACGCATTCAAGAAGTTCCTAGCGTGAGTAATTCTGGAACTGGAAGTGTTTACTTGTGCTGCGTGACCAGTAATTTGAAACATCCAGAAGGGCTGACAAAGACTGACAATAACAAAAATACACCAAAACGTATCTCTGCTTATGGCTAGTACAACTAAATGTAAATCAAATTTTGCATTAGATATAGTCCTGTATCAAGTCAAAACCATTTAAAGTGAAGGGCTTACATTGATGTGCAGTAACTGTAGTGTTGGCAAATTTGGCAGGTAATCTGCATCAGCAACGTCCCACAATAAGGTTAAACAACAAATTCCATCGGTATTGCTCCTTTCACATCAGGAGGTCATGCCCAAGTGTTGGGACAGTCAAGGATGTGCACCGTTGAAAACAAAGTGGCCCTCAGCAATTGAAACCTCAGCCAATGTTTGCCCAGTGATGTAGCCATCATAACAATATTTTGTGCTAGAGATTAATTAACGTTATTATTGCACGTTTCTTTACCAAAGAGCAGCACAAAACAGAATCCTGCAATTGTGAAGAATTTAAGAGATTAGAACACAATATGGTGACTCACCATTTATTCCAGGTCTTGCAGACCCTCATACAGATGCATAGGTCCCTATGACTGAGGTAACTGAATATCGCCAGCCATACCTCCCGCTGCATCACATGTTCTGAGCCACCAGCAAGTGGTAGGGAATCGGGTTCTGGGCTGTCTGGCGGAGGTCGCACCACATGGCGTTCCATTTGAAATGGTTTGGGAGGTGATTGGACAGAGAGTTTGCTTACTATCTGAGGACGAGGCAGACTTCCGAGAACCTTCTGACAGAAGTGACTGGACGGTCCATTTTTTTTCTTGAACGGAATCCCCATTGTCCTAATGGAGTTTCTCTGAATGTTCTCCCCTTTTAAGGAATGGTAATTATTTTCTCGGATACTCGAAGCCAGAGAAAGGGAATTGGTTTTGGAGTTCCTGCTGTTCTCTTCCTCCTCGTCTTCCTCTTCCTCATCATCCTCCTCGCTGAAAATATCATTCGATAGCCTTCTGAGCTTTGACCTCTGGTTATCTCCCTTTTCAATGGATCTTGGACTAGAGCCTCCACTGCTTCCTGCTGACCGCTGGAGACTAGCTTCTGAAGCAGAACTGGAATCCGAATCAGAATCGGAACTGGAGCTGGAACTGGAGGCCTCATTTCGGTTTACACGCTTCATCATCTGTCGGATCCGTTCTATCCTTTGTGCATGTTCAGATCTTTCTAGGTGATTCGTTTTACTGGATTCATCAGAATCTGGTGCTGGTTTCCGTTTCTGAAAAAGAAACTCAGTTTAAGAAAACAAGCCTTTTAACTACATTTCATAACCAAATTATTCAAGGTCACAATAAAGCCATTATTGGACGACCTCCCGACAAGGAAGGCGCTATATAAATGTGATTTTGTATTATATTAACCTCCATCTACTCCATTCCAATTCGAAACAACATCCCCAATTTACATCTGGTTTATTTAATATTTTCCCAACAGGATGGAAATATAATCACTCAAAGCTGAGTGAGGAGTCAAATTTGTGTGACGATTTTCAGACTGGTTAGATTCAGTGAATCCATCCTCCTTTATTCGAACTAGCGTTAGAAAGTCGATCAGCATTTCAACATTATTGGGCGTGTGCGCGGAAAGGCTTCAAAACTCTGGCTGGCTTTTCGCACATGGAACACAAATGACTTTCAGATTATCAGGTTGGTAAAGGGACATTAGCAGTGCTGTACTTCGCATGAGACGTTAAACTGAGGTCCCATTTGCCTGTTCAGGTGGACCTTAAAGATCCCACGGTACTATTCAAAAAGAGAAGGGTGTTTCTCCCGGTGTCTTGGCCAACAATCCCCTAAATAAAATTGGTCTCTCAATCCATGGCTGTTTGTAGGACACTGCTGTGTGCAACTGGCTGCCTCTTTTCCCCCCACAAAATACAGTTAATCCACTTTATAGTATATTCTGTGAAGCGCTTTGAGACGTCTCGACGCTGTGAAAAGACACTATACCAAATGCAAGGATTGTTAGTAGTAGGTTGAGAGTTAGGGAGGAGCAAGACTGAGGAGGGCTTTGGAAGTGAGAACAAGGATCTTAAACTCAATCCTCTAGGGGATGGGGAGCCAGTGAAACTGGGAGAGTTTACAATGAGGCTACCATCAGAAAATGCATGTGCAGTTATAATTGATCCTTTATAAATGGGACAATAAATATTGGTATTAATCTGATCGATTTATTACTATATAGGATATAAAGTGCAGAGGAAAAGGAAAATGCCCACTTTTCAGCAATTAAAATGGAACCAGGTTTGTAACAATCCAATTCTGTTGGAAAAAATGTGCTGAGGGGACAGACAATCATACTATTTTACATCAAATACATTGACCCGTGAATAATATTGACTTAACTCAAATTAGATACGAAGATCAATCAAGCACATTAATAATGCTTACTGGCAGATTAACATAGAGTGCAAGACAAAAGTATTAAAGCGGTGACACAGAGGAGAAAATCTTGTCTGAAAATTGAAGCTTCAAAATTGTTCTCAGCCCAGCTAGTTGAATGCAGTATTGGAATACAATCAGTTAATGGGTATGTGTGTGTGCGCACGCACACTCTCTCTCTCTCTAAGTGACCAAAATATGGTTCTCTGTGGACATCTACAATCAGAACAGCGTGGAAACCTTGGAAAGAGTTTAACTGTTCCCACTTCAATATGCAAATGTGATCACCGGGAATAAGATCCAACAAATCTCTCCATTCCCTAGGCTGATTGCCCCATCAGGGTTACTGCTCGCAAGTTAGACAACCAATCTTACTTCCGGATGCAATGCATGTATCACAGCTCCATGCTAGTTAGGATATATGTGTAAATGTGTTTGCACGTAAGATGAAAAAGCATACCAAAAACAGTAAAAGATACAATCATAATTTTTTTTGGTCAGCTGGGTGTCTGACACATGTGGAACTCCATCACCATCCTTAAGAGTATCCAAACCAAACTGAGTTCCATACACCCACCTATACATGGCAATTCTAGATTTATTTGTTGGAAATGGAATGTGCACTCTCTCTCTCTCCCTGGAGGGTCACATCCTGCTTACATAATTCCGGAAAGTATTAGGTTGACAAGAGTCAAGGCAATATCAGTGTTGAATGATCAGTCGAGCAGCTTTTAAAAAGTTAGTACCAATCTATTTCAGATCAAACCTGAAGTTCTCAGCAATAAAGTCTCAGCAACCTTTGATACAGTATTTTTAAAGGTAGGTCTTTTAAGCTAAACGTACAATAATAATCCTTGCATTTGATATAGTGCCTTATTATGTATTCAAAACGTGTCAAAGCACCTCACAGGATATATTGTAAAGTGAATTGACCGTATATTTTGTGGGTGAAACACGGTAGCCAATTGCGCACAGCAGTGTCTCACAAACAGCCGTGGATTGAGTGACCAAATTATCATTATTATTATTTTTTAAGGGATTATTACCCCGGAAAGCGATCCGCTAATTGACTAACAATTAAACGTCTACTGTATTACCTACCTTCCTTTTTTGAAGTTTATCATCCTTTCCTCCTCTTAGCTAAAGAAAAAGAAGAGACACGATCATGAAAATGTAATTGCTGACAAGTTACTCAGCTCTTTCCCTTCACAAGCTACCTCAAGTACACTCTACACTGAATTTCAACTGTTTACAGAAAGTTAACATACATCATAGGACTGAGCAAGAACGACTATTGACAAATTATTTGGGCAAATTCAGAACAGAAATTCTATTTTTGAACGTAGCATTGTTAATGATTGAAAGGTTTCATATTAATAATGACACTCAAACTCAAGGTTTTATAAGCCTGGGCTATGAAGGCCCATCTTCTCCGAAGCCAAACTAAATCACTCAGACGTGAATAATCTCTCTGACAATTTCTATTTCACCCCAATTCTCTCCCCCGTCCCCCCAAAAAAACGTTTGATTCATCAACACGCCAGTGTCCAACAGTTAATACTTGATGATGTATTAGAGAGGAAAATGTCCAGATCAGATAGGCAGTCAGTTCTAAAATTAAACATTTGGTACAGTCTGTGATCTGCAACTAGCTGTCACAAGTTCATTTGATGTGCCCTGTCCTAAACTACTTTTGATATTTAAAAACCATGCAGACAATTAAGAGCAATGGATTATTGTTATTATATCAAACATGTTTCTTCTGATTTCTTGCATCTAATATCAAAACTGAGCATCTGGATCCATATTGGTGAAACTTAAATTTACTGATCATTATCACAAGGAGAACCAAGACAGCAAGGTTGGTGGTATAGATTGCAGCCAAGGGCCATGCAGAATTTTTATTCTAATCCTTTCTGAAATGATGTCCACAGGCTGTGATCAAGATCAATGCCAACACACGCAGACAGCATGCAGTTCAAAACAGCTGTTCATTGGAAACGAACAGGTAGGAACAACAACAAATTGTTTTTCATGGGAGAATGTCACAATATTTTGGATAGTTAAGAGTTTGCACCCGAACTGGGGGTTGGAATCAAGAGTGGGTGGAGAGCAAGGAGCATGGAACATTCAAAGCGGAAGGTCTTGATATAAGGAGGCAAGGGAGGGGGCGAGGCGGAGGGGCTCTGGGATGGAATTCCAGAAAGTGGGGGTAGAAAAGCTGAAGACCAGTCCGTCGATGGCGGGGCGAGCAACTCTGGGACAGGAGCAGGCCAGTGCCTGCCGAGTGGAGGCAGCATATGGTCCTACAGGTAATGGATTTAAAATCCAGGAAATAAAATCCTGTTGTTCTTTTACAAATCCTTTATTGTCTTGTGAACTGGTACAGAGAAACTATGTAGTAAATTGGGATGAACAAGGATGAACTACAGAAATACTTAAGTGAGCTAAGGTTTACGATACAATGATAACTAGATTAACAAAACGGCTCTGCTACATAAACTGGATTTTATTCTTTCAGGCTTCAGAACTACCCCAAGAACAATCTCGGAAAGCAGCAGTTTTATGTAATTGGTCCCAGGTCTAGTTTGAATATTTAGCTCAGTGCCAATAAGTGTTAAAAATTGGCAGGTCAGGAAAACAATTGAAGCAGAAGCCCATACTTGTACTGAAGCCCAGCAGGAAGGCAGCTTGCTGGCTCAGTTCCAAGTTTCTTTTTCTGAAATTCAGAGTGCCAATGAGTCCTGAAGCGAGAAACTTAACATATTTTTAAAATATTACTGATTATTGGTGGCATTATCAGACACAGAAATTTAAAACTTCAATTCGTACAAACAGGATTTTCAAGATAATAATAATAATCCTTGCATTTGATATAGCGCCCATGTCTTCGGAACAGCTCAAAACGCTTCATAGAATATAATGTAAAGTGAATTGACTGTATTAGTTTATGGGCGAAACACACTATAGTGCTTAAAATCATCAATGCTGTCTACAGAAAATTGTGAGTGATATTACAGTCCTTTATACGCTTCTAAAGGTCTCAATTAACTGAACATTAAAACACTATTTGGCTACTATATTTCACACAAGACATTCATGAAAGTCAACTTGCTCAAGAGTTCAAATGCACAGTCTATGAAAACATTCATATTAAATGGCTTGGCTTTTTGTGTTCTACACATATTAAAACATGTGGATTTCATTAAACAGGTATATAGCAAACAGATTTAGAAAATAGCTACTTTCCTAAAATGAGCCATTAAGTCATGTTTTCAGTCCATAAAAATATTCTCTGCCAAGCTTGGAAAGTTAATGTGGACACACAAACTTGCTGGGTTTATGCGGCAGATTTTAATCACTGGCAATTTGGATTGTGCACTTCAATGTAAAGTTTATTACTGTACCTTTGTTGTTTAGATTTAACAAAGCTTGCATTTGATATAGTGCCATATCATATCGTTGATATGTCTCAAAGTGCTTCACAGGATTTACTATAATGTATAGTGACTATATTTGTAGGTAAACAGTAAACGTTGAAACTAATTTACGGACCGAAATATCCCATAACCAGCCATTAATTGAAAAAGTAATGTTATCTGGGGATTGTTGGCTAGGGCTCTGTGAGAAATTGGCTTCTCTTTTCGAAGAGCGCTACAGGATTTTTAACGTCCAAGTGAACAGGCAGACCTTGGTTTAATGGCACATCTGAAGAATGGCACCTCCGACAAAGCAGTGCTGGGCTAGAATGTGAGCTCAAAGTCCTGAAGTGAGGCTTGAACCCACAATCTGCTGATTTAGAGGCAAGAGTGGTGCCAACTGAGCCAGGCTTTCTGTTAAAGTGAAAGGAGACAGCTTTGTCCTTAAAAGCAGAATGTGACCAGACTTTCAAGATAACACTGGACGGTGCAGACAGGTTCCGTGTTACAAACCTGAAGTGGACGAGCATTTTCTAAAACAATCAATACACCAGAAACAGCTTCGCTATTTTGACAAATTAACTGTTGGTTCAACATTAGCTTATCTTGTTTGCCTTCCGAAAAGAAAGATAACAAACATGCTCGCATACTGTGCGTGAAGTGCGTCACCTGTTTCCCCATTAGCCTTCACTTGAGAGTTCAACACTGAAATATTACAGGTAAAATACTCTTAAATTAGTTGCTCATTGCATTAATTCACCGATTTGGTGTTTAAACAAATCGCATGCTCAAACAATCCCAACCTTTATCCAATTCATACCATACCAAATCACAAACACAGTTAAAGGATTAACCACAAAAAATTCATATTAAATGCACAAAACAAATTAAAGGGATATGCAAAATTAATTTGTTTCCAGTTGCTTCCAGTCATTCTAATAGATTATCTTTCACAATTCAGGCTTGTGTTATATATCCACAGTGACTAAAGACTTACATGTTCCAATATCCACAGTGTCTTACGTTTGCACTAAATAAGGAAGTTGCACTGTTTGGGACCACTACAGTTTTATTAGCTTAGATAAAATGTGGGATTTGTGGTGCTTTTTATTTGAAGGATAGAGTCTGAAATGCAGGATTTCTGAAGTGGGAATAGGAGTCACATAAATAGGAACTTCTTTCAGAACTACTGAAGCACGTTGCCCAGACCTGCAGGAACGCCACTGTGACATAATGCATTTCCACACCAAAGTTCTCACGGGACAGCAAGATTATTAGGGAAACTAGTTTAGAAATGGAGCACTTTAACCTCTCTTTAACATTTTTGATCAGCTATACATTTAAAAACACTCACACAACCAGCACCTTCAGCCGCCTCCACCTTATACCTAATTTGTGCCTCCACATGACACTTTTTGATCAATATGCTGCACCAACCCATTATGCAGAGTCTGTGAAAAACATTACACATGGATCAGCATTCTGGGGTACAATTCTTAAACCAAATCTCGATGACATTTACAAGGCTTGCAGTATATTGGGGGAAGTTTACGTTTGAATGTAAATTCAGATGGAGCATTGAATGTTGGCAGACTATTCAACTGTACCCTGATCCCAAAACAGCCTTTATTTGTCCTCAGTTGACTCACATACAAGTATGTATACAGTATATGCACTTTCAACAGTCACTTAAAAGCAAAGTGGGAATGGTCACATCAGATAATTTTTCCGTTCATAATACAAGATGCCAAGGACAATATCATCACCCTCTAACCACTGTCCCTGCTGAGGTCAGCTATTTTAACACAGACTAGGAATCGATCGTAGGAATCTTCCCGATCTGCATGTTCAGAAAACTAAGCTATTGGGAGGTTAAACAAGTTGACCATGTGATAACATAAGGTGAATCTGTATATGACATTGGTTTGGCCACAGCTGGAGTATTGTGCAGTTTTGGACACCACATTATAGAAAACTATTACAGCTATGTAGAGGGCGCAGCATAAATTTACGAAGATCATACTAGAAATTAAAGAATTATAATAACAATAATAATACTCACATTTATTTATAGTACCTTACAATGTAAAGGATGTCCCAAAAGCCCTCCAGGAATTAGTGTGGAGTGACTCTGTATTTGTAGACAGATATAGCTTTGAGAAGAGGCTAGAGAGGTTAGGACTCTATTTGAGCAGAGAAGGTTGAAGGTGATATGATTGAGGTATTTGATTAAAGGGATTGAATGAATCAATTGTGAAAACCTCTTTCTGCTCGTAGGAGAGATCAGGAATTCACGATTCTGACTAAGGGAGTAAAAGAAGAGGTTTGAAGCACTGTGTCCCAATTTTCAAATTTGATTCGGTTTCACTCTCCTATTGGATAAATCATTTAATTTTTTTTAAGAATGACCATTTTAAAAATGCTGTGCACAATTGGTTGCCACGTTTTGCCCACAAAATACAGGATTAATTCACTTTACAATATATTCTGTAAAGCTCTTTGAGACATCTCAACGACCTTTAAGGGGCTATATCAAATGCAAGGGTTATTCTTATAGATCTTTATAAAAACAGATTAAAAGATAAAGATACCTTTTTTCTTGGGCCTAAATCTGCCGGAACATCCTTGTCCTTTCTTCGTTTTAGCCCCAAACCATCATCGGATTTCCGCCGGTTTGAATGATAGTCCTCAGATTTCGGACGTCCGAGATCTTCTGACTTCCGTCGCCCTCCATCTTCACCTTCTTTGAACTCCTTTAAGAGAGACCCAGGAAGATTGGAGGCGAATTTAAACCCAGGGCCTCTCTTCTGCATGAACATCGGAAATGGGAATAAACGCACATTACCACCCGCTATTGCAGAGAAGCTTGCACTGCGCTGCCTGGTGTGGTATGTGGTCTGCCTGGATTTCATTTCAAACCATTTCACACTTGTGTTTTTATATACAGTGATATACAGCAATAACATTTCAAGATTACATATTTGAAAGCTATTAACTACTGTGTGCGTTCAGCCTAATTTAGTTTTTTTAAAAATACATAAAGTACCATATTGATACCATATTAATAAACTTGGAATATTATTAGCCCAAATTGAAATTGTTTGCATGTGCTTAAAGTGCTAGGGTTGTATTTACATATCCTAAATGTTTCTGCAGTACTCATGTCTTTCAGATATCCCCACATAATGGTGCCTATAAAAAGTTTAATTATTCATATCTAACAGCAATCTAGAGTAATATAGAGCAAATATCATCAAACTGTGCAAATGTGAGGGCCAATTTCTCACTCTGACCCTATTCTTGCATACGTCTCAATGCTATAAACTAAGAGATACTTTGCTCTGTAATAGAGCATCAAAATATATAATTCACGTAGCCTACTCTCAACTTTTCCTGCTCTCTTTCCATCCTTTATTCAAATGGGGGTGGGGAGGGGGTGGGCTTCTGTTTCCACTTTCCAGCATTTTGGGACGTCCTCCCGACGTGAAAGGTTCTTTACAAATGTAATTTGTTGTTGTTGTTGAAATGAGGGAGACTATCCAAGCTCCCAGATGAAGAGTGACACTTGGGTGGTTTGGCTACAATCGGTGGAATGGATCAATACCCTACCATGAATTAGCACCTCCAGGACAGGGAGAGACTGAGTGGGAGTAGGGGGGAGATAGGGAGGGTGATAAAGAGACGATTCAAAAAGTATGAGACAACAGCATTAGCCAAATGTTTTTAACCTCTATATATTGAACCTCATGGATACAGGCAAGATACGCAAGTCTAGCAATCACTACTACAGACACAATGATCAAACAGATATTTATAGGTGCTACTTCAATTAAAACTCATATTATACAACAGGGGAAAGAGAAGGAAGGATCATCATGATCCTCTGGAAATAAGTACACGTGAAATTAGACAAACACCTTCACGGCTGCAGTGCAGACCAAATATACAGTCAAGTCACTTTACAGTATATTCTGTGAAGTGCTTTGAGATGTCTCACAGACGTGATAAGGCGCTGTATCAAACGCAAGGATTATTATTACTTACTTTGCCTGTTTTACCCTCCTGGTTGCATTTTGGACATTCCCAGCAATTTGGCAACTCATCATTGATATGTCCTTCAGAATCTTCCACCTAGTAAAATACAACACACAAGGGGAAGAGGGAATAATTAAATTCTACACACTGTAATATCCAGCCTTTTACTGCAGTACAAAGGTTGGTAATACATTATCTCTAATGTCATTTCACAAAGATCTCATATAGTTACTGATATAAAAAGATTTTAAAAAAACACACTAAGTGGTAGTATAAAAATAGCTATCTGGAGAACAACCACCTTACGGCAACACATCTCAGTGGGCTGGAATAATTCTAAAAAAGTGCTTGTGTTAAGCTTTTCTACATTAAAATGTCATCTGCTTCAATCTCAATTGCAACAGCAAGAGTAAGTAAACTGTTATCATCCACAGTTTTGATGTGAGAGACTATATGGACTGCAGTAACATTCCTACATTGTTCAGCAAGACTGCAGGCAAGTGCCAGAACACAAGGGGGACAGGAAAGCAGAAAAGCTTAAAAAATACGATTTTAGTTAGAAACACAACAGGTACGATTTTGGGTTGGGAGAGGTAAAAAAAAAGAGTACAGTTGTAAAAGTCAGTTCGGTTTAATAATAAAGTACAGTTCAACTGCTGAAGTTTCAGTCTGTCTGAGGCACACATTTAATATCATATTTACAGCTTGCTCTTGACTCATGTGAATCTCAAAAATGTACATCAGTACATTGGAGACTTATATCACTAAGGTATACATAATGAGGTCTCCGTGAAACAGTGGTGGCCTTATGTGACCCTTCCTCACCAGCTGAACCAAACATTCAGAAACCTGAGCTCCTTGGGAATGTCTTAAGCTGGTCTGAACATGGGCAGATGTGAAAAAAAGCCCATATTTCAAACAAATTAAAATAAATACCTTTGCTGGCTATCATACACTACAGTTTCACATACTCTTAATCCATAGGTGGCATGTCTTGCTCTTGTTTGGAGCAATTGTATAATTTACATAGTGAAATAAGATGCAAATTATAAATAGCAAATGGGGGAAGTTTGTGATAAATCAATAAGAACAAGACCAGCAGCAGTTCTGCTGACCCTCCTCTTCGACAGTGCCTTCGGTCACCCTCCTACCCTCCCTGCCCTCCACTCCCCCCTGATCCCAAACCCCTGCTCGAATCCAAATTCCTGACTATCCAGCACCTTGGGACATCACCAGAAGTGAAAGGGGCTATACAAATGTAATTTGTTGTTATTGTTGTGAATAGAGCTGCAGCATATGAACCAGGGCCTCGCTGATTCAAATCCCAGTCCACGCTGAGTTTGCTATACAAATTTGAAAGTAAAAGTTCTTAATATAGCATAAAATTCTATTTTTTTTGTGGAATGCAGGTTTATTCTAAGTTCAAGTATTCAGCTTGTGCCAGGATTATGCATTTATTTGGAGCATTTCCAATTTAGCATAATGTTTGGTGTATTAAATTAATAATGTACTAACTATAATCATAGCGGTAAGAAAGTAATCAAACTGAAGTCAGGAGGCATACTATTCATTTTCAAATCCTGTGCCGTCCTTAAGTTAGTTAGTTCCACATAAATGAAATTTAAATCCTTTGATACATTGGAAGTTCTTTATGGGTGCATAGATTAGGTTCTGCTTCAATATCTGACCCAAGTATTATGATAGGCAGAAATCCAACTACACATGTTGAAGTGGCTGCAGTGCTAAATTAATATTCATGGACAAAGGGCTTGAGGTGTAGTCTGCTCCTGCGAGGAGAGGAAATCACAATCCAGTTTAGCTAAAATCTAAATGTAATTTATTGATGTCTAATGTACGGAGATTTGAAATGATATTCCTAATTCACTTCAACTTCCCTGAAGACCATATGGGAGTGGAGTTCCCACGAGTCTGCAGGACATATTTCCAGTTATTGGAAACAGCTCATATTTACGCAGCTCATATTGCTCATTCAGGAATCCAGTTAAAAATCACCACAGTTTTTAAGACTCCTTTGAAAGGATTGATCTGTCTGTGAAACCTCATTAAAATTACTAAAGGCAAGTCACTAATTTTCAATGTAAAAAGTATGCAACACTAGTTTAGTAAATCATTTCAAAGGCAATGTAACACTGGGAGAGAGCAGAGAACATGGCAATGGATTTGGAATATTATAGTAGAACTATTGTAGCTATGTTTCTTAGCATTAAACCAAAAACGCTTCTCCAGTAATAATTGGTCTCCCCAGCTTCTCCAGTCTTATATTGTAAGAAATAAATTACAATGTATAAAATAAAATCAAGCAGTGGCAAGGGATTCCATGAATACAAATTTTATTCTGCAAGTCTAAATACCATACATACATTTCACTTCAATTAATTCAGACTGCAGCATTTTCATTAAACAGAAGTGTCACACAGGCCTGCAGTAGACTGACCACCATTATTAAGTCCACTCGTCTGTCTGGTTTGCACTGCATTGAGTCTGAGAGCAATAGATAAATTTCTCTACCTTAATTAATTTTCTTAATACAATAAAACCTCACTGAGCTGGTATCGAGCTTTATAGCCAACACTGCCAAGTAGAGCTTTGTCAAGGATTCTCACCAGTTTTGAGCCATTCTCATCAATTGTTTGCCACAGATTGGAACTATCTAGAGCAGTGGTGGCCAACTCCTTTGGATGGCCAACAAAATAAATGTTACTTGATTGAATATTTCTTGATTTATGGCATAAATCTATGCTGTTGTGTTAGCTCTATGATTAATTTGTTGCCCAATCTAAAAGGTTAGCCACCACTGATCTAGAGCAATAACCTTTCTTCACAGTAGAGTTAGATTATCAGCAGAGTAATCATTCTTAGTTATCTTTAGCACTAAAGATACACTATTTGTTCATCCATAAATTTCCAAGTGTCTTTGTCTGCCTACAGTAGACAAAATATATGCTGTTTATTCCTAAGGCAGGAACTCTGGTTGAATTTCCTCTCCCTAACCCCAGGTGCCTGACGAGTGTTGCTCTGGCACAGACAAGTGAACAGTTATCTAAATGTACCGAGCAAAGCATTCTGATAGTTTAAACTTGTTCACTACTTAAAACACCGATGGTTCTGGCAAGAGATTAAATGGCACATTTATTATTTATTATTATTGGTGGCATGCAGCAAATGAGTTTAAATCACCAAAAATATTGATGCATTTCACTGGAGGACACAAAACCTGCTAAATTTAAACTTAAATGTTTGGGCAGATTCGTAAAAAAAAATCACTTGCAAATACTTAATTAGATTCTGCTGCAACTTATTTTAAAAGCAGGATACACTTACTATAGCATTCATTGCTACCCAGTTAAAACATCCCGAATAGGCCAAATGAACTTCCCCCATGTTTCAATCAAAAGTGGAAGGATATAAGATTTCTGTTTTTTCCAAGATATGACCTTTAATAGATCACCTAGGTCAAGCCTACCTTTAGACATCCTGGGTGTATAATTTCATTGCAGATGGAGCATTCCATTAAGCTAGCATTAAATTTCTCCGCTTCATCCACCACACTGTCTTCTTTCCCTGCCTCACCGCAGATCTTGCAGACTGCAGTGTGTGGTAGCACAGGCTGCGTGGAGAAAGTGACAGAGGTCAAGATTAGAATCGAGAGATTTTGGCCTGGAAGAATCCTCAGGATTTCAGATGCGTTAAGCAACCGCCATTCAAGCAAAGATAAGATTCCCGCCTATTGTGGTCATTTGGATGACGTCATAGCGATGTCAACTCACAAGGAGCTTACGTGAAAGGATACAGTTCCATCACATTCTCAATCTTTGCCATGTTACTCAGGCAGATGCAAAATGAAGGCAGCAGAGGGAAATATCAGGTTGCTTATGTCATCACTCATTCTCCTGAACCAATGTCCACACATGTGCAGGGGTCACTGGAAAGCAAGGGACTGAGACAATGCAATACCCCCCACCCCCACCCCGCGCTACACTGGAGTGTCAGCTTAGACTTTGTAAGTCCTGAAATGGGGCTTACTGAAATTTATTACTGTTAACAGTAATAATGATCTGAAAAAGAATATTACTGAGGGCACACAAATAAATCCAGGTCAATCTGGATGTCATTCTACATGTATAATCTCAATACTGTTGAGGGTGGTTTTCTTGCAAGAACATGTAAGAGTTGGTGTTGAGCAGATAATGCATTGTTCTTCATACTTACAGCAATACATTGCCTCTTGATGCAGGACTGCTTCATTCTGCCAGGGCCGCCAAATTTCTTCATGTCTTTGCAGAAGTGGCATTCGCCACACTCGGTTCGCAAGCAAGCTTCGCATTTGCGACATCGTGTCCTGCGTCTGCGGGCACCACTCGTCGATTTATGGACAAGGAGTTTGGGTCCTGACGAAGGGGCTGGCCGAGGCTTTAGTCTTGCTGGGGCCCTGGGCTGCAATAGAGGATAAGAAGAAAGGAAAATTACTGGCACCTGCATAAACATACGTGCATGGTACTTATGAAAAGTCATTTATTTTGCACTAAAATAGAGGTTAAAAAAAAAGGAGAGAAATATGCCTGGCTATCTCTCCTAAGATCCCACCACCTCGCTCCTTCTCTCCCTGCCTTCAAAGGTCTATGTGTTTCGTTAACATCCTCAGTTACCCTTCCTCCACTGCTGCTCCCACCCACGCTCAGATGCAAACCCTGGACTGTCCAGCACCTCGGGCGATATGAGAGGTGCTAACAAATGGAAATTTGTTGTTGCTCGGTGTTCCCCATCATCTCTGTTAAGCGCTTTGTGACATTCAACCAAATGTGAAAGTGCGAAATAAATATACAAGTGCAAGTTGTTACAATATCCATGTTAGGTATTACTAATAGTCAACACTGGAATTGCTCATCATAACCCAGCAGGTCAGGCGCACAGGGCAATCATGCATATGGCGCCCCTGTTGGATCTGTGGTTAACTTTGGCATGTGGACGGAGTTCCATCCAGTTCACCATCACTTTCTGTGTGTTACACATGTGTGCGATGCGTAAGAGGTGCTGATGATGTCAGTAATTGCTTGTTCCGCATTGCGAGCACATACAATACACAGGAAGTGACGTCGACCTGACAAGTCGGCTATTCTTAGTACGTTCCGATGACCCAAAGTTGCCAATTTTTCAATGTTTCGTTATAATGTTGAGTCTGAGACACTGGGCACAGATGACCAGGTTATAACAGGGTTGTCCTGCATTAGAAACCTACTAGAGATTGACTTCTATCAACAAACACAAATGCTTCCAGAGTTAATCCACTCTTGGTATATTCCAGCATTTCTGGGTCTACACACAATGCAATAATCAATGCATATTGAACAGTGTCACCAATCAAACTGGTTTCGTGGGTTTGGGGACAAAAAGCACCACCATTGTTAAATGGCTATTTCATCAATGAAGACAAACTGCTCAATATGTCAGCCAATAGGATCAGTCACAAGAGTTGGGCTGTATTATATGCTTCAACAGGATAGCCCAACGTTCTTGTTGCTATGGAATCCATTGCATTCATTCTGCAGGGTACATGCCACAGTGTCAGAGCAACAGATAAACAGCTTTACAATTGTAGTTATGTTCCAATTTGCAACTGATTCTGGCCCTGGGTAAGGTCCGTACAAGATGGCACTTACTGTGTTCTAAGTAGGTCAAGTAAAGAAAAATCACTTGTGCTTCTACTGGTTCCAACCAAGGCAAGTGGGATCTCACTACCAAGAGGCATTTCTGGTGAAGGAAAAACACACAGGAGGAGACCATTCAGCCCATCGAGCCTGCTCCGCTACAGACCACAGGCCACTTACTAACAGCAGTTCCCCATCACATTCCTCTCTTGCTCTCAAAACCCTCAACTGATTCTCTTTGCTGGCTTTCTGGGGCCGTGTATAACAGATTCTTATCACTCAGTTAGACTAAAATCTTCATAGACTTGAAACTCTGCTTTTCCAGGTTTTCGGCTGTTGGACAGTGAGTTTCTTGAACAATGCATGGGACTTGTAGCAACTGACTGAAAAACAAACAATGCCTTCCATTTACCTTTTAGCCTTGAGAACAAGTCAAGTAATTAGCATTAATTACTGGTGGCCCAGCCAGTTAGGTGAGCAAACCAGTGAAATAGCACGAAGGCTTCATAAACAAGGTTTATACAACATGCCTAGTGTGTGACGTGCAATGGGGTAGTGCTAAGTCATACATTTCTAAGGGAGGAAGGGAGCAAGGAAGGCAAGTACAAGCCCTTGTATGCCTTCCTGCCACTGCCTCAAATCTAGCATCGACAGAAAACTTTGATAGGTCACCTCCCCAACCTCTTGACCCAGGCAGCAGTACACAAGGGAGAAAGATGAAAGATAAGATGAGAGATAATAGCTCCTAAAAAGAGGGATTCAAAAAGAATAATTAAAGCAGTACAATTGGCTGTATGTCTTTGTGCAAGACCTAGGATTATGAAATGAGGTATGCATACACCCAAATTGAGGTTTCAGGAATAACCCAGGGATCAACCGGTTACTAATTATAAGAAATTCCTGATTTTAGTTTATATAATAATCCTTGCATTTGATAAAGCACCTTATAATGTCTTTGAGATGTCTCAAAATGCTTCACAGAATATAATGTAAAGTGAATTAACTGTATATTTTGTGGGCGAATTTTATGAGGAATATTGGACAAGACAACAAGAAGAAATTTTGCCATAGGATCTTTAACTTGCATCTGAAAATGCAAGTGCGACCTCAGTCTTACAGAATAGAGTATTCTACAAAGATTCACTATAATGTATACAAAGTCTTTACAAAAGCAAAATGACCTTCAGATTCCAGAAAGGCCTAAACTGAGACAGGGACTGAATTTTAGACTGAGCTCAGATGAAGGAAAAGAGTTTGATCTCATAACAGTTTCTGGAGTTCTCATCCCCGATAAATAGATCAATTTTAATAATACTTGCATTTGATATAGCGCCTTATATCGTCGACAAGTCTCAAAGCGCTTCACAGAATATACGATTATGTATTTAAGCAAAGCAAAAAAAAATATTTCAGTGGCAGAAATTTCAAACAAATTTAGAGGCTGTGGTAAAACTGCACTGCTTTTTCCACTTGATATCTTCTGACAGCTAGGCTTCCCAAGCTGCCAGCATAGACCAAAAAGCTTCACAGCAAAGCATGACACTCCTTGAGCAAACAAATCTCGTTAATACATCTCATTTTAACAGTCAGTAATAAATAACTTCATTTTAAACAAATGAGAAACCTTTACAACTCATCGTGCAATTTAAAAACACTTGGCTCGCTCACTCAGCTCAAGATTAGACGGCAAAATTCAAAGTTCACAGTGGTGTAGGCATTTCAGTCCAACTGTGCAATTGCAGAGCTCACAAAATCTACTCAACAGCAAAAAAAATCAATTCAAGAGGTTGGTAAACTCTGTTGATTGTTTTAGGGATTCACTAGGAAAACAAATGTTATTTAAATCCCCCGCAGGAATCCTCAATGCACAAATAAATCCGGTGATGGATCAGATCGACATTTACTACAGATTAAATCTCTTGTCATCCCATCGGATGGCAGTTTCAAAGTAACATCTTGGTCACCGACCCTCCTAGTTGCTGGCAGGTGTACAGTATCAAGGTTCGGAGATACAGGAGGGTGTAAAATGGAAATTAGTTGGTGATTAGGAGGAAGGGGGGGTGGAGGGAAGAGAAAAAGAGAAATGCAACAGAGCTATGATACTCCACTTATTACCATAAGCTGTCAGTACTCCAGTACTCTTTAAACTAGTATGTAAGACCCTTAACTCACAAGTACCAAAGGCAGATTCTACAGCAGTAAATTACCACTGTAATTTAATGTTTTGTTTACAGTTGGTACATTAACCTTACTGACTTTACCACTGGCTTGATCAATCACTCCACAGGGCAATGCCTTTCATTCCCAAAGAACAGATTTCATGGTAACTATAGAGATTATTTCACCTGGGTGAATAAACCATTCAAAGACGGTCAGTATGGATTTGCTTGACGAGTCTAACAGAGTTCTTTAACTAAATGAATCAAGAAAATAAATAAAGGTAATGCTGCGGATGTAATATGCATTGATTTTCAGAAGGCTTTTGATAAGGTACCACATAGAAGGCTAATTATAAAATCAGGATGCCAGGTATTAATGGAAAGGTAGCAGCATGGATAGAAAGTTAGTTAAAGGATAGGAAACGGAGGGTGGGAGTACAGGGTTGTTATTCACAATGGAGATGTAAATAGTGGTGTACTCAGGGGAGTGAGTTGGGACACTTTCCATCAGAACAAGGATTGAGGGGTAACTTGATAGAGGTGTCACCCTGTCCCCTGCCATCCACCCACCCTGCACCAGCTTGGGTGCCCAATCAGCGGTGTAAAACATTTTAAAAGGTACTGTATACATGTAAACTGTGGTTCTTGTTGTCTGATATGCCCCAACCCTGCCACCCTTAACAGTAAGCAGCGAGTTGCTGCTCATGTTTAACATTTAGATTTATTTTGATGCTACAGATTCTCAAGGCTTCTTGAATGTCACGTGACTGGCAAGCAATGAATGGCACATAACTCACAAATATAATAACAATAATAATCCTTGCATTTGATATAGTGCTTTTCACATCTTCTAGACGTCCCAAAGCGCTTCACAGAATATACTGTAATATGGTGCATGTGTAAAAATTAACTTCATGTTAGACTGTACATCTTTACATCCTGGGTTCAATTCCAGGCAGGGCGAAACCTTGGGCAAGTTTCCTTACTCCACACGCCTGATAATAATCCCTCTACAGCAAAAAACCAATAATAAATTGGTCATTTTCAATCCATGACTGTTTGTGGGACGCTGCTGTGCGCAATTGGCTGCCGCGTTTCGCCCACAAATATACGGTCAATTCATTTATAGCATAATCTGTGAAGCGATTTGAGACGTCTAGAAGACTTGAAAAGCGCTATATCAAATGCAAGGATTATTATTATATTATTATATCTTCAAGCACAAAAGAAGTCACTCAAATTCCAGTGACTAATCATAGAACCACCCACAAGATCCTATTACACCTAGGTTGCAGTAAAATACCTTGGGGGTTTTCAAATAAAATTGCACAATGTGTTGTCACACCTGTGCACAATATGTAATGTTCACATTGGTGAAATATGGATTTTACAGGCAGTAGGTAAATTTCTTCCCTCTGTCTTCCCTGAAGCATATTCTATTCATTAATGCCATTAATAAGCAGAGTCCTTAATTCCACAACAGAAAGTTTTATGCACTATTGGACTTTCCTCTTTAAAAGTACATCATATCCCTCAATATATCCCCGATACTTTCTGTTCCACACGTCACATTCCACTACAAACTAAGCTATTGAGTTTACTAAGATCACACATTGAAATTATGTATTTA